GATGCATGGCCAGTCCAGCCAGCAGGGCGAGTGGGGTGCAGGTCCGACCATTCCAGCTGGTCCAGCTGTAGGGTTGAGGTCTGACCAGACTGAGGGGCCAAGTGGGGGCTCACAGCTTGGTGGGAGGAAGTCTGGCCAGTCCTGGGCCGGCACAGGTCCAGCCACCCGCATGGCCCCGAGCCCACACTTCAGGCCAGGCCTCCACGCGTCGCTCGGCGGCTGCAGGTTACAGACTATGGGGTACCTCCCCCAAGGGTGGGGGCTGCCGTAGGAGAGCAGCAGGGCAGGCGCTCACGGAGAAGCCTATCTGGGCAGGCCTGCGGCAGGCACAGGTCTGTGCCCACCCCCACCTCCTAGAACCGAAGTCAAGGCACAGAGTGGGGGGTTAACCAGCCTTGGGCAGCCCCCACCCTGTATGAATGCCTTCAAGCACCTGCAGAAGCTGGCTCAAAGCCCCTGCCCTGAGTGCCCCGCCAGTGCCAGCACGTGGTAATCGGTGGTGGCGACCGGGAGGGTGAGTCTCAGACATCCTGCGCCCTGTGTCTGGGCTTTTCGATCTCCTGTGGTACTTTTGTTGGCTGTGTTCTGCCAGACAGGTCATTAATCTGCACATGAAACCAAACAGGAGGCATCTGCCCTAATTAAGGAACTTGCCTCTCTCAGTTCAGGACTGACTGGTCCCAGGTTGCCCAAACTGCCTGATTTTAATACTGAAAGCCTTGCACGTCCTGGAAACCCCGGCTCCATCCTGGGGAAGCAGAACTGGGGTCCCCCTGCCTTCAGGCAAATATTAAGGTGTTCCCTCAGCAAACCCACTGCACAGGCTGTGGAAAACATTCCTGTAAAATCCGGGGCTGCCACACCGCGGGCTCACACAAGCTCTTCCAGAGGCAGCCGCCAGAGGGCAGCAGAGGACCGCGGGTCTAAAATAGGCCACTTGGGGTGGGACCCTTTCAGGGTCTCTTTTAACCAGGCCCCTGCAGGACAATGCTTTCTGATGGGACATTCGCCTGCGTATGTCTCAAAACCCTCTCGCTGCCCTGTGTTTAGGAAATTGCTGTGTTTTGTTTGCCATTCAAGCGTCTTCAAAGTCTTCAGGTTGGTTTTCCCCATGTCAGAGGACGCAGGCTTATTGGGTCAGCAGAAATGACGGCTGTAACGCTGGAAGAGGACTGCAGACCTCAGTGCTGCGCGGTTCTTGTCAGGCGTCTGGAGGAAAACCTGGGCCTGCGAGTCTGCTCGTGACCCTTGCAAGGCTGGAGAAGTCCTGGCTGTTGAAGAAGCCTGCCTGTCCTCAGGGGCAGGGGGTACCAACCGGACGAAGCAGGAGGCCCAGCCAGTGGGACCCTGAGCTGGTCCTTCTGGTTCTGGGCTCTTTGGCTGTGCCCTTGTCAGATCTGCCAGGTGCCAGTGACACGGGCAGTGCCAGCACCCAGAGCAGGCTGGCAGCAGGTGTGAATCCAGAGCTGCTGGCAGCTGCAGGGGACACTGTCATCCACCCTACTCGGCCTGTGGCCATGTCTTCCCCATGAGCTTTGGCTTTCTCCTCCCCTGCCAACCTCCGCAGAGGCTCTTTTACTGGGCACAATCCCTGGGCCCAGTGCCCATCCTGGTGCACCCTCATCTAACCACAGCTGTCATTTCATACTGGGGCTGGGCCCTACAGAGCTGCAAGTGGCCGGGGCTGTGGGTCCACTGCAGCCCCAAGCAGCCAGGCCAAGTCTCCTGAAAGGCTTTCCCATACCCTCGCTGCTGCTCTGAAGAACACAGCCGCCTCCAACACCTTTAACTCAGTGGGACTGACTGGGAGCTCATGTCCTCAGCTGCCCTGAAGATCGGGGATTTCCACACGTGGACATTGAAAGAGCGCACAGAAGGGCATCCACCCCGTGAAACCATGGCGGTGCCCACTGAAGGGCACCATCGCTGGCTTTCTGGTCCTAATCTCTGTGCTCTACCTTGGAGGGGCTGCAAAGGAAGGGCGGAGTGTAGGAGGCTCAGAGCACTGAGTGAGTTACAGTCCACGCTCCAGCCAGCCTGCCACCTGCCCATGCCCATGCACAGGGCCACATCATGGCCAGCAGTGCACGGGCACCTAGGGTGGTGGCCATGTGCTGTGTGCTTCCTAAAGATCTAGAGGTGTCAGTGGGCCAGAGGAAGCTGACTATGGGTTCTGGTCCCCAGCCTGCTCTTTGCAGCAGGCCCCTGCCCAAACAGCTCCTCATGAAGGGACCGGGGCTCCTGCTCCCCCGGGGAGCAGTCAGCGTCACAGACAGGTGCAGGCAGTCAGCGCTGTCCCCGATGGAGGGCACCACCTCCTTGCACACTTTCTGTTGCTCATTTCTCCCCAGCATGACCCTGCAGGGCCCTGCATGGCATAGTCCATCTTCCATCCCTGGCTGTGGACACGTGGGACCTAGAAACCACTGGAGACCTGTCCCTGCTGTGCTGTGTGCCATCCCCATCACCCAGGGCAGGTGTCCCTGGCTCTCCAAGGATGCGAGGAGGAGGAGACCACACTGTGGCCTCAGCAGGGCCCGCTGAAGCTCAGGGTCCTGGGGAGTGGCACAGGAGGGTCATCGACAGCACAGAGTGGAAACCAGAGCCCAGCAATGGGCACCCTTGCTCTACCCAGGCAGGAGCCCCAGGTGGTCTCCCTTCAGGTCATCTGAGAGAGGGCAGTGCAAGGCCCTGGACACCAGAGGAGGGGACCCGGACTGATGCAGGGAGCATCTGAGTGACAGGACAATGTGGTCACAGATGTGACCAGCAAGTGGTCACTGCCCTCAGCCTGCTTGCTCCTGGGCAGGGCCCGAGCCCAGCTGCGTCTGTGCCGCTCACCCTACATGGAACTGGCCTCTGGCTGGAAGAGGCGTCAGACTGGGCTGAGCATCCTTCTACCAACCTGCCGGGGCCACTTAGACAGCGGGCTTTGTAACTGCAACTTGGCACTGGGCAGAGACTGGGCCAAGACGCTGGACAGAGACACAGTGCACTGGCTGCTCTGAGCTCCGGTCCGCAGGCTGCCCAGAACCTGGGATCACAGGCACTGGGAATCCTTCCTTACATCCCCACAGAGCTGTGGATGGAATCTTACTACTCCACATGAAATATTCAGTACTCTGAAGGGGTGGGGCTGGCGCGATCTGGTGAATTTTACAAAACAAATGGAGATGCAAGTGAAGAAAAGCAGAGCCTAGCGACCTGCAGAGCCGAGTGCAAGATAAATGTCCAGCGTGCAAGCTCCAGGGCACCGCTGACTTCACGGTGGAGTTCAGTGGGATCATATAACTGTCACCTCCAGAGGGCGGGACTTGATGCATGAACGAGCCAGGAGATGAACCCCTGATTCCTACTCGGAGCGTGACCATCACCTACGTTCCTGTGCCAGTACTTTTAATTTAATAAGCCCGGGGGTCAGGGGCCACCTGAGATGGATTGCAGCTGTCGCTGCCCACACTGTCCTCATGCACAGCTCTGCTCTCCCCTCTGCCTCCCTCCTATGCCTACAGGATGGCTCCGCTGGGGTCCCTGCGTGTGTGTGTGTGTGTGTGTGTGTGTGTGTGTGTGTGCGCGCGCGCGCACACGCGTGTGCCTTCCCCTTGAGTGATACGTGTATTTCCACAGCTATTTCCATCATCCCCCAGTGAGCCTGGAGATGCTGGGGACGTGGCCATCTGTGCTCCTGCTGACCTCTCTGTGCAGTGAAGGAAAGCCACCAGCCCCAGAAAACCCGGGAAGCAGATGCAGCTGTCATTCTCCTGCGAGTTCCAAACCGAAAACTTCAAAATATCACACTCACAACGGAGGCAATTTTATTAGTAAGTCACCCAAAGGTGAGCAGCCCGCCGGAGCACTCAGTTATTATTCTTAGTTTTTTAAAGACTAGCAACTGCGAAGAAAGAAAATTGAAAATGAACTGATACCGGGCTAGAGGTTAAGTGTGTGTGCACGGGGAAGAGGAGACTGGTTTTTAGAATCTATTTTCATTCTTCTAAGAAAGTGACACCCGGCCATGATAAGGGACAATGTTTCTCAAACTCGCAGGAAAGATCTGCGTCCGTAGGGGACGGCTGTGAAAGAGTCAGGGCGAAGGAGGAAGGAGGAAGGAGGTGACGCCCTGGGTGTGGAGCAGGCTGTGGGGAGCCGGCCACCCCCTCCCATGGGTCAGCCCAGAGAGCTGGGGGACAGCAGCTGCTGCAGCTGCCTGGGGTGGGACACCCCGACTCACAGCAGGAAAGAGAGCCCTCAGGGGGAAGCAGGCCTCGAAGCAGTGACAGAAACAGCAGAGGCCATGGGAAGCCAGGGAGCAGAAGGTGCCAAAGGCCAGCAGGGTGATCCGAGCAATAAGGGAACAGGAGAGCAGGCCCGTCCAGCGAGCAGGTGCCGGGTGTGAGACTCACCCCAACGTAGAGCCAGGGCGGCTGGCTGTCCCCTCAAGGCCCACCAGTCCGCCCAGTGCCTGCCAGGCACAGCAGCCAGGAAACACCAGGGAAAGCCCCGGGGCAGCGCCACCTGCTGTGGGATCCAGGAAGAGCAGGGCTTCCCTGGGGGTGGCTCTGGGCTGGGGCTGTTTGTCAGGCCACCATCACAGCTCCCCTGGGGCCAGACTAACCCCCACATCCCAGACTGTGCGACACCCTTTCCCCACCATTGCTCTTGGGGACCTGGAGGATCCAAAGATCCCTGGGGATCAGATCTTTGAAGGTGCACCCCAAACCTAGATCAGGATGGAGGCTCTGGGCTCACATTCCGTAGTGCTCATCCACCAGAATGAGGGCCCCACGCTGTTCACTGAAGTTTGGAGAGTGTTGGTGGGAATCCATGAAATGGTATCTGGTAGAGAAGCCTCTGGAAAAAACAAACTAAAATCTCCATTTCCATAGAACCTGCAAAGGTAAGGTTAACATGTGTGTCTCGTCGGGTCTTTAACTTTTAAAATTTAATTTAACCAAGCTCAATTATAGTTAGAATATATATTTGAAGGAGTAACAATGAAACCTGTATAAATGCAGATCAAAAGGAGCTGACGTCAGAATGACCTGATACTGCATTGGGTGGGTAAATTCTGTGCCCTGGGTAGCAGGTTGGATGATGATTGTCCTGTTTCAAGGTTTGCTGTTGTTACCCATGTCTGCAAGCACATAATGACAAGATCCATCCTGGGGAGTCGGCCCGTGGATGTAACACCTCTGTTATGGATTAAAAACTGGTGGTCAATTTAGCACCAGCTGAATTACATCAGCATGGTGCTGCCTGCAGACAGCCCACCTGAGGAAAGTCACCAGCATAAAAGGAGATGAGAAGAGCAGGGCACTGTGGCTTTCTCTGAGGGCTGTCGTCTGAGCCGTTGGTTCTCCTGGAGGAGCTCGTCATGACCAGCTTCCCCTGTGTGAGTTCAACCATCGCCATCAGAGGAGCTTGGGACCTTGTTGGGGAGAGTGGCTGTGGTTCTCTTTGGGCAGCTCTGGTCCTTGCATCCAGCATCCCTTCCTGGCTCCTGAGGGGAAGACATGCACTGTTTAATCTCCAGGAGAAGCTTGTCACTCTGGCTTTCTGGCATGTACTTTACTGTTCTTATCATTGGAGGAGCTTGAGACCTCAGTGTCACTGAGGATGGCTGTGGTATTTTTCAGGGAAGCCCTGGTTCTTATTTTGAGTGTGACTTCTCAGCTAGTGTAGAACCCTCATCCCACCAACACAGCACCTTCACCCTGCTGGCATGGTCTTTCTGGCTTCCACCGCTGACCTTTGGGTCTTCCTGGCATGGATCCATAAAAGAAACTGGCATGAGTCCTTCTCATGGGCTCTAGACCTCCAGCTGGATTCGTGGGAGGCACTGTCATGAGCTCTATATTTTTATTTGGACTCATGCAGGACATTGCTGTGGGATCCAGGCCCTTGGCTGAATATTCTGGGTCTTTAGCGCTGCGGACAGATTTCCTGCACTTTCTTCTGTTAACTCTGGGTGACCATCATAAATACTATTATAATCCTGTGTCCTGATTGAAATTGTTCCCCTCACAACCTCTGATGACAACAGCATGTGGATTATTTTTATTTCCCCTCCCACCCCTCCATGCTCCTCTCCTCCTCTCTTGGCTCCCTCTTCTTTATGAAGGATCAGTCTCCCTGCTTCCTATTATCCAATGCTTTGAATTTGTATGGAAACCCATACGCTCGATCTGCATCCTCACTGCTAGACCTGGCGTAGAAATATATAGCGATAGGTCAGACTCTCTATAAAGTGTATGTTGGGTCCCCTGAGATTTTTATATCAGAATCACTTTAAATTAGTTCTATAATTCCTGTTTACCCTACACTGTGTTTTAGGGATATTTCAGTATTGTTGTTCTATTTAAGTTGAAGTATGGGGTGCTACAGGTGATACCAGAATTTTACCTGGGACATAAACCAACTCCCATCCACTATCGGCAGATCAGAATACCTGCCACAAGAGGGCGCACAACTGTGGACACACTGCGTGCTTTGGGTGCCTGCTCTTAGGGTTTAACCCTACCCTTCCCTAGTATTTACTGAGATCAAATGTTCAGGAGGCTGAGGCAAGCGATTTGTGGGTCCCAGGTGGCAAGAGGGTGCACTGAAGAGCTTGGAAGGCAGCTTTTCCTTTAGTGGATAAAAGCCCCGCAGAAGAAGGCCCTGGCGGAACAGTCAACCAGTACCAAAGAAGAAGGGACCGAGAAGGGCGGGGTGCTCAGCGTCAGCAGGGAGCCCCATGAACGCAGGGCCAAGGGGTCCCCATTTCTGAGGACTGTGCCTCTCCCAAGTCCAAGAGCCTGTGACTCTTCTAGAAGATTTGGTCGTGACCCCAAGAGAATGTGCTGTTCAATGCTCCTATCATCTTTCTCCACAACACTTACGGTTATGCACTGCCTTTCCCAGCATTTAAAGATCAAATGACGGAGAGCAGTGAGTGCAGGCACAGGACCAGCTCTGGGCCTGACCCTATCATCCATCTATCTATCTGTCTATCCATCCTTCCATCATCTGTCTATATCTATCTATCCATCTATCATCTATGCATATCTATCCATCCGTCCCTCATCTATCTATATCTATCCAGCATCTGTCTATGTCTATCCATCCATCATCTGTCTGTATCTATCCATCCATCCATCATCTATGTCTACCTATCCATCCATCATCTATGAGTCTATCCGTCTACCTATATCTGTCTATTTATCGTGCATCTCTCCCTCTCTATCTTTGCATTTAATAACCCGAGGCCCAGTGCCTAGCAGGGCCTGGCTCCCACACACGTAGCATGGTGCCGATCCTGTCACAGAATACAGGCGCGTCCTTCCTGAGTTCAACAACAAAACCAAGCAAACCTACACTCCGCCCTCGGCTCATCTTATCCCTGCAGCTGGTCTTTCAGATCGCCCTTCCTGTTCTCGTTTTAACCGTGAGACGATGACGAGCCGGAGACGCCAGTGGCCTCTGCGGGATTTCCCGCCCAGCCTGTGGCAGGTGTAGATAGACACAGAAGCCAACCTGGGGTCAGTGGATATGGGACACAGGGCAACAGGCAGATTGGAGAGTAGGTTAAAACGAGTTTGCGAGTCAGTGCGAGCACAGTCACCTTCCTCTTTAGCAGTGTCACCGCCTTGCACAGTGGAGCCAGTTTCCTCTGCTTCCTGGGACGCTTCTGTACTTTCTGGGAGTGCAGAGTAATCTGTCTGTGTTTCTCATCTTGTCGCCGTGGACTCGAGGGGACGGGATGACTTTCAAGTGCTTCCTGTAGTTTTCTGCCATCTTAACACTGCGCAGGGTCGGCAGAGCGTCCGGACCTGACTCTGCCAGCGACTGAAACCAACACCAGTTAAGAGGGGCAGCAGGAACTCCCAGCTGTTCCAAATGTGCTGTCAAACCCACGTGAACTTCCCAGGCACCCAGCACTCCTGGGTGCCAAGAGGGAGATTCCAAAGAGCTCCAGCTAAATTCTACCCAGCTGAATCTGTGCAGGGAATGAAAGCTCTTCCAGAGAAACTGAGAAGCATCTTCAGACAGCAGTAAAAGCTCATAGCCAAGACTGACCAGTGATGGCCAGAGTGCAAACCTCCCCTGGTGTAGTCAGGGGTTGCAAAAACAATTACATACAGGACACATAATTTACAGTATGATTTATAATGGTCACCCAAGGAGTCAAATACAAAGAAAGTGCATATGTCCACACACTACAGACCTAGAACACCTAGCCAAGGGCCTGAGTCCCATGGCAATAACCTGCATAAGTCCAGCTGAAAACCCCAAGCCCACAGCAATGCCTTCACAAGTCCAACTGGAGGCCCAGAGCCCACGACAATGACTCACGCAAGTCTGTTTTATGGATCTGCACTGGACCGGCCCAAAGGTCAGCAGTGGAAGCCAGAAAGTCTATGCCAGTGGGGGGAAGGATCTGTGCCTGTAGGTTGAGGGTTCTATACTGGAGCCAAGAAGTGACACTCAAAATAAGGACCAGATCTCCCCCAAAATTACTACAGTCATCCTCAATGACAATGAGGTCCCGAGACCGTCCAATGATGAGAATAGCTGAGTTCATATCAGGAAGCCAACATGACAAGCTTCTCCTGGAGATTAAACAGCACACATCTCTCCTTCCAGAACCAGGAAGTGATGTGCACAGTAAGGACCAGAGCTCCCCCAAAGTGAACCCCAGCCACTCGGCAACAGGCCCTGGGCTCCTCTTGTGATAACAGCTGAGTTCCTATCAGGGGAGCCGGCGTGACAGTCTCCTCCAGGAAAACAGGTGGCTCCAGACAACAACACTGAGGAGAACCCACAATGCTGCTGCTTCCTCTCAGGTCTCCTGTTTATGCTGGCAAGAGCGCTCACCAGGCTGTCCATGCTCAGCACCACACTGATTCGGTTCAGCTGGTGTCAGGTTGACCACCAATTACCAACGTACTACATTTCTCCACGGGCACGGGCATCACACATGGTGAACACAGCACCAGGTCCCCGTGCCCCAAACGTGGGAAAGGAATCCTCATGATGTTAACATGACCCAGTCCACCCAAGGGACCCCTCATTTCTGACTAAGCAGGAAGTCAGAATCCTGTTCCCCTTCTGACCATCTTCTCTGTTTTTGGAACAGGGATTCCTGGGCTTCCAAGGTGAAGCCTGAAGGTCCCGCTGAGCCTTTCAAAAGCAGATTTCAGGGCCTCAGCCCCAGAGACCCTGACTCACAGGTCAAATGGGCCCCTACGTGGGCTCCTGAGGTCTTTCTAATTCTATGATCCACTGCTTCTTCTGCATAATGTTTCACTCACCTCCTCTGATCATCAGGGTGGGGTTCACGGGTCAACTGCTTGTGACAACCAAGGCTTTTGCACTCTCAATCAGCTGTCACCACTCAGCTGGCCTTATTTGTACCACTTTCCTTTGGATAGTCCTCGAACTTCCATCCTGCTAAAAAAGATGAGCAGTGATGCTTACAGTCAAAAATACCTGGTGCATAAGCCTGGCAGTTATTACAGGCACACGCACGTGTTCCCAAAGGGTGTCGGCTGAATTGTGCTGCCCCTGGGAAATGAAATGATTTCCCCACTGACTCCTCCTCCTCCTGCCTTTATGACTGCTGTCATCTTCCAGAAGCTCGTCTCTTCCTCTAAAATTCCCCACCCTGCAGAGTTTCTTCTGCAGGAGCCTGTGCTGCCCACAGTGAGTTCACAGGCTGGGAAAAACGTTCAGAGTGTGTGGAAGCATCCTGCTCCTTCCTGGGAGACTCACAAATCTGTTACAAATAATTCCTTCTAGTTTCCTTTACAGAAAAAGGGTCCGTTCGTCCCAAATGTCTTCGAGGATCCTAGGTTTATTGGTATACAGCCCTGCGAACGTGGTTATTGATGCGTTTTAGAAATGTGGTCACAAACCACAGATTATTTCCATTAAGCCATGCCTGTCCCACCTGCTGCGTCCTATTTTGTTATGGAACTGGGTACTTTGGAGTTGCCTCCTGCTGCTAGGTTTATGGCAGAGAGCTTAATCACTTAGTCTCTGAGGAAATCCTCCGGTTATATGTATGCGCCTGGTTTCAGTTGGGAAACAGTTTGTCCTCCAAGTGCATGTTTGGGACTAGATTCCTTTTTCAGCCAGCCATCGCAACACAAAAGGTAAACGGTATGTAACATGACCTCTGGGCATTAACGCAACAATAACACACGGGGCTGTGGTGTGAACAGAACCAAAGTCATCTGAGGTCCTGCTGGCAAAGAAATGACCCATCCTAAAATGTGCACCCACGCTGCTGAAATAGAGAAATGGACTTGCTTTCCATTGTCACATGAAAGCACACAGAACTTAAAGTTGTTAAAGCACGCAGTGTGTATGTATGTGTGTGTGTGTGTGTGTGCACGTGCACACACACACGTGTGCACATGCGCACACATTTTAATCTAAGTTTGGGACCATTTGCTTCCTCTGGTTCTGGGTTCACACTTGTACTCACCCACCTGCTTCAAGACTGTGTTAGTTGGGAAAAGTGTCCTTAGCTTAAGTTCCTTTCCTGAACTCTGCTTCTAAGAATGAAGCATCACAGATTCCACTCCTGATTTAAAACATAACAAGGTGCCTGCAGCTGGCCCAGGGAGAACTTCCGCCCTCTCTGTCCTGGGCGCTGCGCACAGCCTTGTCTGCAGGTGGAAGGGTATCAGCCCCTGTGCTGGCACCTGACTGAACAGTCCCTGATCCAGAGGTCCTTCTGCCAGCAGCCTGTGCCCTGCCCTCACACCCCGGCCTCCTGGCCTTGGGGAAACAGAATCTGTCCCACAGGGGCTGCACCAAGGGCTCCTGCTGAAGTGTCCTTCCTCTTCCTCCACCTCGGTGTTCTTCAATGCTTGCTAATTTGTCCAGGAAGTTACTGTCAAGCCTGGTGGCCTACATGACCCTGAGTCAGTCACTGGGAAGCTGTGGCCATTTCAGACGGAGTCAGGGCAGAACCATCTCATGCCCCCACAGCTCCGAGATGTCAGGAGGCACCGGCAGCGTGTTCAGGGCGCAGACCACGTTTGTGATAAAATCCCCCAGCATGAGGATTTACCCACAACAAGATTCACCGCCTGCTGTGAGCCCTCAGCCCTTTCGTCTTGCGGCTGGTGGAACTCAATGATCCTGGACACTGAGGGGTCAGTAGTGGAGCTGCTTTAGGGACAATGTCCCCTGTGGTTTGCAGTCCCTCCGGACTGCAAGTTGCCATGAGCTGCCCCTACCTGGACCTAAAAGACACACACGGAAGCACAGACAGGGGACCCATGAGAGGACTGTGTCTGATGTGTAGGCACCAAGGCTTCGGGATGAGGGACACTGAAGTTTATAACCTTTGGCCTCAGAAGCCAGTCAACAGGAACCACTATACCATAAAAACTGTAAGCAGATCTCTTCACGAAAGTGGATATTCCGCTCAATAAGATACGCTTCATATTCAATAATATAGTCCTATTTTTTCGTTCATTTTAAAGTAAATTTGAAGAAAAAGACTTTTAGCAAGAAGGTTGGAGTAAATAATTCTGCTACTTTTGCTACAGAAAAGACACCAGGATGTCACTGTCAGTTTAAAAGGTGTGGACTTACAGGAAGCTGGACAGAGGACTGGCTGTTCCTGTGCTCCTCTTAGATTATAACGCCTTTCCGTTTATCTTCTCATTCACAACAAATGCTTGTCTTCATACTAAGCCTCAGCCCCTGCCCCAGCTGTGTGGGGACAGCAGGACATCTAGAGCTCTCAGGCTGGGGGCAGCGCTGGGCCCACAGAGCACCCTGCAGCCTTCTCCTCCTCCCCTCTCGAGTCCCGAGGTCCAGCCTCCCTCGGCTGGGGAAGGCTCCTTCCTTGGCCACCTTCCTGGCTCCTGTGGTCACCATTGCTCACTGAGGGTCAGCAGATCCCTTTGCTCAGAAGTACACCAGGCCCCGTGCCCTTGCGTCCCCTGGCTGGGTGGCTGAGCCTCCCTGGGGCCAGCTGTGCTGCCACTGCTCCTTGAGGTCTTTCCAGCGCCTTCCACTGGATCTCCAGACAGAGGCCTGGCACCTCCCCCCATACCCCGAGGGCACCTTCCCCAGTGCAAGTCAGCCTCTTCCCATCACCAGGACCCTGAAGACAGGAACAACAGCACCATGTGTGGCCCAAAATGACTCCATGACCTGCAAAGTCAGTGTTGCAATTTCTTCCTGGAGCCCTGATCTGGTAGCAGTGCTGAGGGAGAGGAGGAGAGCCGGGTCTCCCCCAAGCTCAGTGAGAGAGGCTGTGTTTACCCCAAGCCACACCACTGCCGGGGTCGGGATTCCGCTGCTTCCCAGACACGGCCTCTGCCTCAGGGATGGTCCCCAGCCCCTGTCTGATGTTTTCCCACACAGCTCTCCAGCCTCGGATCTCCTTCCAGCCCTCCAGGATCCCTCTCCGGACCACTCTTCCAGACTCTTCAATTTCCTGCTTCTCTGTGTCCGTCCCTTGTGACTCTGCCGTGCAGACCTTAATCATCCCACCTGGCACGGTCACCGGCCAAGCATCTTCACAGCAGAAGAGAAGTGGGAGCCACCCCTCCTTCTCGGGGACCCAGTTCCCAGCAGCAGGATAAATATAATCCTGTCCAGACTCAGAAGGACCCCCTCGGCCCTGTGCTGGGACATTTATGTCACCTCTCATGCATCCGCACTCATGGACTGCTAACCCAGGTCTGAGGCTTCCTCTCCCACTGTCAAATCTCCCACTGAGCACATCTCCACAAGTTTATGAATTTCCACTGTTTATTGAAAGGCACTGGCCTGGACTGCAGAAGCGGGAGGATTATTCCGGAATCAGGCGTGGTCTCAGCGAGGATTTGGAAATACTGGGTATGGGAAGACGTGGACCCTAATTGGGCAATTCTTTGACTCGGCCCTTTTGGTAGAGTCCCTGGGAGTGTGGAGGAAGATTCCGGAGCCCAGTGCTGCAGCTCAGTGTTTTGAGCAGCGCCGTCCTGCCCCACACAGAGCCGTGTACCCTTCCCCGCAGAAGGCGAGGGTGGCCTGCCCTAAATACTGTGCATAGATGTCCACAGAGGGGAAGAGCACTCCTGGATAACTTCGCCACTAGCATTCTGGACGTTAATCTCTGTCCCAAAAGAAGAATTTAGGAAACACATAGTGCGGAAAAGAGTGCGAATATCTATGGAACAAGTATCAGTGGGGTTTTATGCAAATCCACAAAATGGTACCAGAAAACAGCCCATCGGAAGGGGTGTAACGTTGCCTCTCAGTAGCCTGAGTGCAAAGTGACACCTGCCTTCGGAAGTGGGTGGTGACCCTTCCATCCAGTGCGGCTCCCAAGCAGGCGACACTCAAGGGACAGGGAGTACCTGAGCTCAGGGCCCAGGCTGGACAGACACGTGAAATCACCAGGCACGGGAAAAGCAGTCAGGTGAGAAAGACTCACGTCTGCTTCAGACAGACTGAACCTCCAGGG